CAGCAGCAGCAGCAGCAGCAGCAGCAGCAGCAGCAGCAGTAGGAGTACCAGCAAGCATGGTGCAGAGGCGAAAAACCCGCAGGAGAAAAGCGAACTAAAAAAGGTTCATCCCACACCTGCTGGCTGAGGTCTGCTGGAGCTGGTCTGCTGCTACAGCAGCTGAAAGAGGTAGTCTGCGAGAGTGGAACTCCCTCCCCGTGTTTTTTCTGCGGAGGGATTCAGCTCTCTGGTGTCCCCGGCTCGCGGGCGGCCACCGTTTCGCGCGAGCTATTCGCCCTTTCGAGCCCTCATTTTCAGTGCAGATTTCAAAAACAAATTGTGCGACAGGAAGAGGAGCAGCACTCTGACCGGCACTCAGGAGGCTTGTAGTCCCAAAAGGGTTAATGCATTATTTATCTGCAATTGTCGGAGGGCAAACAAAATAATAATAATAATAATAATAGAAATCAACGACAGATATTCTGAAGTCCTCCACTCCCTCTGCGCGCTATGCGAGGTAACAACTGAGACTAGGGGTCACCATCACGGGCCGGAGAGAATGAGGTACACCCCCTTGGTTCAATCTTGGTGCTTCACAACGCAAGCAGAAACAAGGCAATCTGGCACAGAAAAAGAGAGAAAAAGAGAACAAGTATAAAGGAAAGAGAAGAGGCAATAAATACAAAGGGCGAGGACAAAGAGGGACCAGGCCGAAAATAACAACAAATAAGAGACAAAGAAAGGCACACGGTAGAGAGACCACTAACGACAAGCAAACACGCAAACATGGCCACCAACCAGCGATGAATTGTAATGGTACGTCATCACTAGTGGGGGGTTGGTGCAATGGTGCAGCGTTGGGGGGGGGGAATCGGCTACAAGAAATTCAATCCGGCACGTATGTATCGCGCCCCTCGGTCCGTCTCTTCTCGTTTGTTTTCTTCCCTCGCCGTCTCGTCCGTCTCCTGCCCCCCTCCCGCCCCATTGGTTGGTGGCTTGTGGTTTCGATTGAGCGCCCGTTGTCGGTTGGCCTCTTCTTCCTTCTCGTGCCAGGAGGTCATGAACCTCTCAGCTCCCTGCAGTACCGCCGCATGCCAGGGTACTCCCTTCTCTACCTTCGCGGCTTCCGTCCACTTTAACGTCGGTGCCGTGTCTTTCGGTACCGGGATTCCGAAACAACATGAATCGGTTTTCGTAGATCCGTGGTCGGCCCCGAATGCCTTCAGGTCGTCGAGCAATCACTTCGGCCAGTTCTGTTCCAGGCAGTGGGGTAGATCGGACACGCCTGGACGGTCGTAAGTGTCCCCCCGCTACACACGCAAATTGTCCCCATATAAAAACCCTCCTTTTGTGGGGGACGCGGGACGCGACTATTTGCAATCCATGGATTGAAAAAGTCAACCCCTTGACCCCTTTCTACAATGGTTGCTGTACACAGAGACCACGGGCTCCCAAACATTTTTTTTTTTAGAGCTAATGTGAGAAACAACAACAACAAACAACAACAGCAAGGCCCAAGGGACTGCAAGGGCAAGTACAAAGACGGTTGCTTCGCAGAACGCCTGTTGCTACCCTCTCATTGGCCAAGGACTGTCGTACGAGTGGCCCTCGTCGCTTTTGCCCGAAGAATAGTGGCTGCCAGTTGAAGAACCAGAGAACGCTGACAGCAATGGTGCGCAAGAAGATGAAGAGAGTGGCTGATGAACTTACCGCTGACAATAAGGCTGCGTCTGGACTGACCGGCACCGTGTGCTCCTGGCTCAAGGATCTGGACCTCGTCGGCCACGAGCTGTTGCCTGCGATCTCGTCTGACCTGGATATATTCAGTCTGCTGTGTCGTGCTGGCGAGAGCTCAGCAGGGAGTAGTACCGCAGAGAGCAAGTTTGCCCAAGCCCGTGGGCTGCAGGCATTGCGAGCGGCTGTCGCCGGTGGGTCGGCATCCGTTGAGGATCTACGCTTGATATTCCTGTACGGCCTCTTGTTGTACATCGATCCCGGCACCTCGCATCTCCGCAAAGCCATCAAAAACTTGCTAGGAGCGACGGAGAAGGTCATTCAGGAGCAGCAGCTTGAGAGCGGCAACAGCAGCATGACAGATAGCATTGCAGGGCTCGTCGCCGCCAGATTGGCAAAGCGTTCGTGGGACTTGCAAGCGGGCGCGGCGGCGACACACGACGAAGCAGATCCATCAGGAGGGACGGCGACGGCAGCTGCCGCGGCTGTGCGTACGGCGGTATCACTGTGAGTTGCCAGCTCCACCCATCTTTTATAAGGGTGCGTCACTGTACTGCTGTAGTCAAGGCGCTGTGATGCTAGGGGGAACAATTGTACCAATTTAGCATACCCCTGCGGTAACCATGTGGATGCTACAGTATTGCACTCGACGACCATCGCGTGTTCGGTATCTTTTGTTTCCTCTTTGTAACCGTGCGCTTGAAGGAGGAATACGTCTTTGTCTCGCTGTACAGCAGTTAGGGGTGTCAATCGGGCAGATTTTGGAGCCAAAAATGTGACCGGTCTATTCAGCGATTTGGGGGGGGGGGCACACGGATTGGGTTATTTTTCGGCCCTTGAGAGTTGTTGTTGTTGTCTTCACATTAAACCGTATGTCAATTGCTAATTGCCAAAATCTAGCAAAGACTCTCAGCCCGTGGTCACGAAAGTTCTAGAGCTATCTGAGGATCTAAAGAACACGCACACAAATAACGAGAAAAAGGTATTCAAGAGCCCGAAGAGGTACTACTACACCTATATATAATCCCTGCAGCACCGTATGCGGGCCCAAAAACTGAACTGCACGTCCGTCCCACCGTTCGACTACAGTAGCATCACCCCCTCCCTGTCCCACTCTATACCAAAACGGAAGATTGCCGACTACAGCATACTGCTGTCTGAAGTGCTGTCTGTACAAAAACACCATGGTAGGCATGGAACAAGCAGCTGGCGGGGCACAAAGCTGCTGTCTGAAGTGCTGTCAGAATGTGTCTGCGGACGTACAGTGAAAAAGAACAACCAACCAAAGCCATNATTGATAGCACAGATAGAAATGTTTGTCCGTGCACCACGGGTCGATGTCGCCCGCATGCTCCGGTGCCG